GAATTATTAGATCCTGATGAAGATGTTCCAGATGATTTATTGAAGATGATGACTTTATATGTAGATCGAATTAATGATTATTTGAAACGTTTTGATTTACCGGAAGTTAATAATCAATCTGAAACGAATAATGATATTGTTCAACAAATGGAACAGTTATCTTTGGATACTTCAATCACGAAAATAAAAGTTGATCAATTACCGACGTTTGATGGCAAATTTTCAAATTGGAAGGCTTACAAAGGTATGATTGAAAATTTGCTAATAAATAATATTGCATTGAATGAAGAATTAAAGAAATCGATGTTATTGAAAACAATGACAAATGAACCGGCCCGTATTGTTAGTATTTTGATTGGTCAACAAATGTCATTGCCGGATATTTGGAATAAAGTATGTGAAAAATTCGATGATCATCAAAAAGCGATTTTAGAAATTAAAAATGAATTGAATTTAATTCCCCGAATTGATAATGAAAATCAAACATTGAACTTGAAGAAAGCGAAAGACATCGTTGAAAGTGCTGATTTAGCGGTGAAGGGTTTGGATCTGGATACATCGTTTTATACGGCGAATTTAGTCCAAGCTGTGGCAAATAAATTTTACTATCGTGCGAAACGTAAAATGTTGGTTAAAGTTAAAAAGTTTGAAGATTTAGTAAAATTTATCGATGAATTGTACGAAGATGCTGTCCGATATGATTATAACAAAGTGGAATTAAATGATTCGTCTAGTAGAAGAAAAGAAGATTTTTCTCGTAATGCTTCGTCAGCTGCTATTGACACCAAATTTTGCAATATATGTGGCAATAGTCATCAGAGCACGTTTTCTTGTTTTGATAATAAAGATCCGAAATTTATTGCTGATGTTATTCGTTTAAAAGGTTTATGTTTAAAGTGTCTTCGACGTGGACATCGTAGTAAGGATTGTTCTGTATTCTTGGAAAATAAATGCAAAAAGTGTGATTATTATCACGCGACCGAAATGCATGATGTATTGAATGAATTGTATCATACAAAACCAAAAGAAATTGCTAGAAACGATATTCCACCATCATCGGAATCATCATCGTCGTCATCGATTTCTGGATCTGTAGCAGCTTTATCATTTTTTCAACCAAAAATGAATGTTTTTGATATCAATAGAATTGGTAAATTCGAAAATCGTCCAACAATTTATGGAAAATGTAATGGAAAAGAAAGTGTTATATTGTTGGACAGTGGATCTAATATTTCGTTGATTGATGAAGATTTAATATTAGAAGATATTCAAGGTAATGATAAAAAATGTTCGATTGTGACTTACTCTCCTTTGGGGGGGATGAAAACAGCACATAAAAAAATTGCATTGAAAATCAAAAGTCACCGTTTGGAGATTATTGTTGATTTATTTCCGGTGAAAATGAATGACAAAAATTTAATCATTATTGGTACTGATAATTTGTCATATTTTTATGAAAGTCAACCTGAATTTCTTGAAATTCCTTCGATTTTTGGCAAGATCCGCTATAAAGTAGGAAGAGATATTCCGAATGTTTGTAGCGCTATTAAAAATTCAATCTCGAATGGTGGTCATGATGATGTTGAAGATTTGGAGCCATTGGAAATGGAACCATCATCATTATCAAATGAAAATTTAAGAAAATTGGAACAAGATAATGATTTGAATTTAGACATTGATGATGATGTTAATGATGATATTCAGATTGTACGAAAAGAAGATGGACGTTTTGAAGCAAGATTGCCTTTTTTATCGGATTTGCGTCCAAAATGTAATTTTTATAGCGCCTTATCTGTTCTGGATAAATTGTTAAAACGTTTGAATTCAATGGGCATGAAAAAAGAATACGAAAATCAGTTGATGTCGTACGTGAACAATAATCAGGCAGAAGAGAATGATGAGGCTACTGGTTATTTTCTACCTCATCATGCAGTTTTTCGTGAATCATCTTCGACTCCAATCCGCGTAGTGTTCAATGGATCTTTTGGATTGGAAGCTCTGAATAAATTACTTTGGAAAGGTGTTGCCCATGGATTAGATATTTTTGATCATATGATTCGTTTTCGTAAAGGAAAATTTGCTTTCACTGCCGATTTGTCCAAGGCTTTTTTGCAGATTTTGATTCATACAGAAGATAGAAAATTTTTGAAGTTTTTATGGAAGAACGATAAAAATGAATTGAAAATGTATCAAATGAAGGTATTACCCTTCGGACTGGTTTCTTCTCCAGCTATTTTAACAAGTGTAACCAAAAAATTATTGTGTGACCAAAATTTGAATCAAATTGCCGATGCCATCTACATGGATGATATCATTTGGGCAATGGATTCTGAATCTGATTTATGTTTATTGATCAACAACTTAAAGAATTGCTTTCAAAACGCAGGTTTTGTCATGCACAAGATTTGTTCGAATAGTAAATTGATTTCTTCCAATATTGAAAATGATTCGAATAATGTAGGTGATAAAAAAGTGTTAGGTATTGTATGGAACACTAACACCGATGAATTATCAAATGTTTTCCCAGTCATTTCTCAAATTATTACAAAACGTGATTTATTATCAATGATTGGACGTTTTTTCGATCCGTACGGATACTTAGATCCATGGAAATTGAAATTAAGATCTTGGTATCGGGAAGTTTTGTCCAAAGATTGGGATGATCGATTGCCTGAACATATCATTAATGGAACGTTGTCTCATTTAGATTGCATGGAAGAATTAAAGAAATTAAAAATGATTCGTAATCTCGACAATGATGGTGATATTCATGGTTTTGCTGACGCATCTACTTTAGCGTACGGTTATTCAATATACGTTAAAAAAGATGATAAATTTTATTTTTTGTTGGGTAAAGCTAAATTAGCCCCTCCTAAAGATTTAACGATCGTTGAATTAGAATTGAAAGCCATTCATGAATTGAGTAAAATTTTGTATCGTATTCATTCTATCATTCCGAACAAAATAACGATTTGGTCAGATTCGATGATAAATTTACATCGTTTTAATGATTCACCAAATAATCAAAATCGTAATGTAGCTTCTCAAATTATGAAAATTTTGAAAATTGTTAATGATCTAAATATTTCAATTCGTCATGTCAATGGAATTCGCAATCCAGCAGATATTTTTAGTAGAATTATTGATTCAAAATATTATTTGAAAAATTTTAAATTTATTATTGATGCGAATTATTTTGATTTTAAAGATTCAAATTTATTCAAAACTTATCGTATATCGTCATTAAATTCAAAGGATTTTGAATTTGCTGATCAAGTTGAAGATTTTGAAAAGTTGAAGTCAATTGAACAATTTTTAGATTTTGTTGAAAAATTGTTACCCATTGGAAACACAGCAAGTGACCGGTGGAATTTAATTTTCAAATTAGCACAACATGGTCATGATGTTGACAAAATTAAATTGCCAATTATTAATGATGACGTTATTAAAATAAAAACACGAGATCCTGATTATTGTCCGATATGGATACCTAAAGAATCATCTCTTGCTATAGCCGTAATAAAAGAACATCACGAAAAAACATTTCACGGGGGCATCAAGACTACAATGGCAAGTATTCATGCAAAATTTTATATTCCGAATTTATATCGTTTGGTAAAAAAATATATCTATTATTGCGAATTTTGCCAAATTGAAAAGAAAAAGCAATTTGTTCAACCTTTCTCGGCTTTACCGTCGACTCGAACAAATTTTACTGCACCGTTTGAGTCCATCTGCATTGATTTTTTTGGTCCTTTAAACTACAGAAATTCAAAACAATTTTATGGCTTAATCGCAACATGTTTAGTTTCTCGTGTTGTCAAATTGGAAGTAGTTCAATCTTTATCGGCGAAAGCTACGTTGGAATCGTTGAATCGTATCTTTCTTTTGTGTGGTACACCTAAAGTAATTTATAGCGATAATGGAAAAAATTTTATTCGTGCCAGCAAAGAAATTAAAAAATTGTTTAACTTTGTTCAAGATTTGAAACAATCCGATGACCGTTGTATTGATTGGATTTTTTCACCACCTCATGCTCCTTGGTTCAATGGAACTGCTGAACGATTGATAGCTGTAGTCAAAAGGTGTTTACGGGTTTTTGACAACGAATTTCGATCTATTGAAAATGCCCGTTATATGTTCCTTCAAGTTGAATCAGAAATCAACAATCGGCCAATCATCCAGAATGACGAACGATGGTTATCAGCCTTTGAATTGGCGTATGGAAGACCGCAAGAACCTCTGAAATTATTGAATGATTCAGATAAAACAGAAATTGGTTCAGCTTTTAGATGGCTAAAACATCTGAATAACATTCGTAACAAATTCGAAAAGTTATGGCGGCAACAGTATTTATCATCATTGAATCAAAACAACCCACCAAAAATGGATAAATTGGAAATTAATGATTTTGTTCTGATCCCGACAAATTTTAAAAAACGATTCAACTGGCCAATTTATCGCGTATTATTGATTACAAAGAATGATGATGGAACGATCAAAAGCATCAAGATCAAGGATACGGAAACTGGAACCGAATTGGTCCGACCTATTAAAGGAATTATCCGTCTAGAATCGCGGCGGGAATGTTAAGAAACCGAAGTTCGAAATTCGAAGCCGTCTGTTCGAAACGATTTATAATCGAAACTGTTTTAATTTTTTCTATTCATTCGTTCTCATGTAGCTAACAGTTAATAAACTATATGAATTTTCTCAAATAATAACCTCGTGTTGCTTGATTTTTTACATAGGTTATGTTTGGTTTTTTCTACAGAGAAGTATGCAAGAATCATTTTTTTAAAATTGGGTGAGGACCTAAGAATGATTCAAGTAGACGAGAGCTGTTTTTCCTGCAAGCCAAATATTAAATTACAGTCTTAAATGTTCGAAGTTCGAACTATAGTTATTTTTATTTTAAGATCTTCACTGTTCCCATTAATTTGATATAAAAACACGTGCTTTTAAAATAAAATAAAGTCAGTGTGTTACAAACCTCAATCCTGTTCGTTCTGTTTATCTGTGTTTCTGTTTATGTACACCAAAGCATCATGGTCGGCCGTAGTGCAAAACAAGTGTTGGTCTTTGGTATGGTTGATACCAGTATTTCCATGCCAGAATCCATTATATATTCGGACCAATGGCGTTCTTATCTTAGTATAGAAAAAGAACTAGGATTTCAGCACAAAATCATTAATCACAAAGTGAACTTTGTGGATAAAGTCACGGGGAGTTCATACCATAAACATCGAAAGCTATTGGAATAAAAGCAAAAAATTAATAAAGAGAATGGTAAAAGGTTGGTAAAAGGAATCATCTAGAAAGCTATATATATGAATTACTATGGCGTGAATGACATACTGTAAATACGAAATTTTTTTTCCCGAATCGTCATCTACGAATTTGCTCATCAATGATTTCCGTTATATGGGAAATTCTGCGTAGAATTTCGAATCTGATTGTTATTGTTGTTACGAAGATGATTATAAAGTTATGAATTTCAATTAGAAAACGAAAAACAAAATTAGATGAAATTTCCACATTAAAACATTTGTCATTGTCATCATCATCATTCGAATAAATATAAAGATTGATTCATGTTTTATCAAATTAATTAATTCAGACGCACACACACGAAGTAACAAACGTTGAAGATTTTGAAAAAGAGAATTTCATCCAAAAATATATCATAAAACATTTTGAAAAAAGATTGATAATATTTCGAACTCAGTCATTTAACGTGTTACTTGTTGATTAGTTGCTTTTAACTTTCTTCGATTTTATTTTCATTTCAATAATGTTTCCATCACATCAACAATATTATGCAACAAATTCATCACCATTTTATCCTGGTACAAGTTATGCTGTACCACCACCACCACCATATGATAATATAAACAATAATCAACATAATTCCGGTTGTAATCCTATCATCATTACACAACAACCAACAAGACCGGTAGTTGTTGTTGAAGAACCTGTTTGTACACCGGCTGATTGTTGTCTTTGTGCAATATGTGCTATTTGTTGTGGTATGTGTATGGCAAGCCATCCATGTTGTTAATCAATCAATCAATCAATATCATTATTATCATATCTTTCCTTCAAATCCTTTCATCCAAAATCTACACAAACCGAAACAATCCATAAATCTGAATGAATAATTTTTTTTTGTTGATAATTATTACGAAATAATTAAACAAAACAACAATTTATTTTCAAAAATCAATCAAATATTAAAATGTCTTAAGAAAACAAAATAAACAGAAGAAAAAAAAACACATTTGATTTTGCAGCAGTTCGATGATTTATTTGTAAAAAAAAATCTTAATTAAACTTAATTAAATCCTATTAATTTTTCCATATAACCCAATCAAAAAAAAAAAACAAACAAACAACATCCCTCTGTCTTTCATTAAAGAATTCGAAATATTTTCATATCACATCAGAGGTATGAATGATGATGATGAAGACCGATAATTATTTTCAAAGTACAAATTTTGCAGTAAATTTTTTTCATTCATTTCGAATCATCATCACATAAACAACATGACTGAACAGAAAATAAAAAAATGAAAATTCATCATCATGATGTTTGATTCCAGCCAATTCGATTCCATTATTATTATTATTATCATTATTTTGTTATTATTGTTGTTGTTGTTGACATTGAGGAAGCATTGTGATTAGGAAGAATGGATGGATCAAATTCACAAATACGAAATGGTTCTGTACGTATATTACGTTCATAAAATGGACAAACTTGTAAATGATGAGCCATAACATTATCGGAATCAATACGCCAACCACGTATAGGTTGCATTGCTGTACTAAATAGCCATTTCTGTTTTTTTTTTAATTTTATAAAAAAAAATTTTTTAATAAAACAAATTTGAAAAAAATTAACCATAATCCATATTTACCTTATAAACGACACGCCATTGAAATTTACCCTTTTCCATTTCGAAACGTTTCCATTGTAAAACGACATAACCTTTTTTCTTTACAAACGATTGTACAACCATACGCATACGTTTCGATGTAAATGATAGATTATTCAATGAAAATCCGTCCAGATATTTGCAAATATTTTGTAACAGCTAAATTTTAAATGAAAAATTCAAATATAAAATAAATTAGAATTCAAATAAAATTTTCATACTTCAAATGGTAGATTATTTAACGAAAAATAAATATTGCCATCAGATGATTTTCTTGATGATATACATGATGATGATGTATTATTGGCTGTTGTTGTTGTTGTTGTAGCAGCTATACCTCCATTTATACCACCTTTACCGGACATTAATAATAATGGAACGGATGAATTATTATTCGAATATAATAATGAATATGATGATGATGAATGTGATGTTGAAATGATACTATCACCATTGCCACAGCAAGCACTTGTACTATTTTTTCTTGCCGTTTTTGTCAACATTATTCGATGATTATTTTCATCATCAAATGATGGTGATTCTAATGAAACGGATGATGTTGATGATGGCTGTTGATGATCAAAAGATTCATTTCGTTTATTATCATCATCCATCATTAGATCATCATCATCATCATCTTCACATTGATCAAATGAAATATTTGTTGTTCGATTCGATCGAACATCATCATAATCATTATCGTTAACGGAACAACAAGCAAATGTTTCTAATGATTCATTATAAACAATCGTTGTTTGTTGTCGATTCCATCGATCAACATATGATGGCTCATTTTGTGATAAACGTGGCCAAAGACGACGATGTACAAATGTACAGCCATTATAGAATAATGGACAACGATATTCAATCCAACCATCTAGGCCACCATGTATATCACTATGTATATCTCGTGAGTGTGCGGACAATTCATCTTTACGAAAATCTAATCCACAACGAAACGTATACATTGCCCGAGGTTTTGGTTGATAAAATGCATATGAACGGATCGATATTTCTAATGATAATGTATTACATTTAGGTACAGGAGGTGGTATCGGTGGCTGTGATTGAACATTTTTTCGTTGATTCATACATTGATTTGATTGAACATCTTTTGCTTTTGTTTTAATCATTTCGACCATAAATTGTTTATCCGTATCCGTTATTATAGGCAGATTTATTGATGAAGAACTTGGATATGATTGTTGAATGGCCAATGTTGGAGATAATAGTTGTTGATTATCATTATTATTTGTATTAATTGTTGAATGATTAATTCCATCATTATTTGTTTCAACTAGATTTGTATTACATTTGGATTCCATCCATGAAAACATTTGACTACAAATTGAATTCGATTTTTTTCTTGATTGTTCTTGTTGTTGTCGATAATCATGCGAACTTTCCATATAAATTCGACGATAATATTGAGCCGTTTGTCGTAATATTTCCACTAATGATTCTTTATAAGCATGTTCAACCAATTTGGCAGCATAATTTAGATATTTTTCTTCTTCAATATTATTATCACAATTATAATAAGATAATTGATTATTATTATTATTATTATTTATTGATGATGGATCAACAACATTATTGTTCGTTGTTGTTGCTGTTGTTATTGTTGTTGTCGAATTCTGTGCATTTGTGACTGTTGAACGAAATTCACGAAATGTTCGAATTCCAATATAAGGCTAAAAATCAATAGAATTATTAATAATTGTTGTAAATGATTAGATTTTAATTCAAAAAAAAACATTACCTTTATAGGAACAGCCGGATGTGTTGAAAGACGACCACGCATAATACGTTTCATTTGTCTGGATGCTGACCATAATTGTTTAAGCATACGTTGATCACGTAATGCTAATGCTACATCTAAATTATGTATATTCAATGAATGTGGTGAACAAAATCCCTGAGTTGTTGGACTTTTTTCACTTGAATATAATGGCATACGATTCCATTCAGCTGAACAATGTACAACATTTGCTGGACATTGATCAACAAGATGTTGTGACATTTGACCACGTAATAAACGATATGGACATCCATAATGGCTATTTATACATGAAACCATTTGATAATGGCAAAGAAGAAAATGTTCTTTCATTTTACAATAATGCATTACCATTCCACATTGACGATTTGTACAACGTACAACTGGACAAAATTCTACAATATTAGTAGTATCATTTTCATCTTCATTTTTATCATGATAACCATTCGATAATTGTTGTAATCGTTGTTGATTCTGTTTACGTTGATGATTTTTTATTCGATTATTATTATTCTTATCATCATCATCATCATCATTACAATAATAATCAACATCTAATATCATTGAATATTTTTCTTCCATCGATAATTGATAAGCTTCATTAAATGAAACAGGCATTCGTATACATTTTAACGGCCGTATACAATGAAAACAATGACTATGTATATTGCTAAATGATTTCAATCGATTACGATGTTTAAAAAGGTTATTCAATGATGTACGTTCGAATTCTTGTTGTTGTTGTTGTTGCGATTGCAATAAATCTATAGATGATTGATTAACATTAGATTTAATAGGATGATCAATCTGATCGGATGATGTTGTTATTGCCGTATTTGATGTGGAAGTTTTCATTTTTGTTTTGATTCTGGAAAAACCGGAATTCTTGGTGGGCCAAAAAAAACAAACAAAGAATGACTGAAGACTCAAAAACAATATTTAATTAATGGATGATCATAGAAGTGATAATTTACAATATCGTTATATATTAAGTACGAATGATTTTTTTGATGATTTAAATCATCAATTATTTAATTATAAATTAAAAAATCGTTAATATTAATTATCATCATTATTGTTGTTGATTGACAAGATTTGTATTTTCTTCTTTTAAATCAATCAAACAATTGTATAATTATTTAAGATGTTGATGAAAATGTTAAACAATAATGTGTACATGATTTTGGATCTTGATTAATTATTAAAATGTTTTTAATTATCAAAATAAGATCATCATCATCACCATCATCAATATTAATAACAATAAAGACGACAACGACGACGATGACGATGAAAACAATCATAATAACGACATCATCAACTAAACAAACACAATATTGTGATATATCGTTGAATAATCGATTGTATCGTAATTTTATTATCACATTGTCAATGATTATTTTCAAGAATTTTACATGTGTATTGTTTGAAAATTGAATTTTTACATTTGATTTTTGTTTTGTTTTGTAATTCAAAAGATATTTTTGTTTCATCAACGAATTAAAAATAATGATTCTATCACCAGCATCATCAGAAGCTAAACATCAAATCGATGTTACAGCTGAAGATCAACAGATGATTAATCGTTTTGCAAGATTGAATCTGAAATCAGATGAATTACAGAATAAATATGAAGAATTAAAACGACAAACTGAAAATTTAGAAGAAGCTGAAAATGAATTAATGTTACAGGATGATTTTGATGAAGATTTCGCTGATGATGGTGATGATGATGATAAAAATTCAAACCAAAATCAACAAAGCGGCCAATCATCAGCCGTTAAAATTAAACCAAGTTCAAATATTCAATTTGTTGTTGGCACATCATTCATGGCTGTAACCAAAACCGAATGTGAAAGTCTTATTGAACAACGAAAAGCAGAAATTAAACAAAAAATGAAAGATCTGGATGAGCAATTGGCACCAATGAAAGAAGAAATGAATTCAATTAAATCAAAATTATATGCAAAATTCGGTAGCAATATCAATCTTGATTCTGAAGATTCATAATGATTTCAATTTCATTTTTAATAATACAAAAATTGAATTTATTTTACAAAATAACTTAAACAAAATGAATTCTAATTAAATTTTCTTTTCAAAACAATTTCATTGATCAAGCTGTTCTTCACCACATTCGATTCGAATGAAATCCAATACATTCGCACGGGAATTACGTAGAAATTGTTCAACGGTAATATCTTCATTAAAAATGAATTTCTGCTTAATTAAAGCTTCGGGTTCTTCATCACCCGTCATATTGTCTTCTTGGGGAGATTCCTTAGTTTCTTCGGTCGACAATGGTGCAACCATTTTAGGTGATAATCCAATAATATGTTGACCAAGACGTGAACCAAGTTCATCAATATTTTTAGACATCTGTGTTGTGTCCATTTCTTCTTCTTCATTCACTGAAGTATTGGATTCTGGCAATTGTGTAACGGCAACTATGGTTCCATATTTACCCAAAACAATTTCGGGATCATTTGATTCAATTTTACCGGCAACAGCATGTGCATAAGGTAATAATCGAATCTGACTGGATTCACTATTAGAAATTCTCATCAAACATCCACGTACAAAGCGAATATTTTCACCTAATTTCTGAATCGTATTCACCACTAAATCACCACCAATATCTTTCAATCGTTTTTCATCTGTTATCCAGATTTTTTCCACACCATCCGATTGTTGATGATTGGCTTTCAGATTCGTTAATTGATTGTTCATTTTTTTGGCTAACTCAGAAACAAGTCGAATAAAATGTTCATTACGTGAAACAAAATCAGTTTCACATCTGACTTCGACCATCGTTGCTTGTAATTGATTAGGATCGGTATAAATTCCAATTAAACCTTGTCCGGTTGTTCGCGACTAATAAATTTTTTAAAATTAATTTTAAATCAAACAACAACAACAAAAAAAACACAAACCTTGACACGTTCAGCTTTTTCCCAGCCTTGTTTTGCTGCTTCAGCTCTTAACCATTTTTCAGCTTTCATTACATCTTGTCCATTTTGTTCCAAAGCTTTACGACAAAGTGCAAAAGCATAACCGGTCTTTTTTCGTAATTTAGCCAAATCTGATTCAAAAACAATCGGACTACGATGAATATCTCGAATCGAATTACGATTGATCGATACAGGAATTCTGATCGATCTAACGATAGATCTTATGAATGACATTTTTATTAGAGAATAATTTGTAAAAAAAAATTTTAAAAAAATTAATTCAAATAAAAAAATGTGAAAAAAACAGTATTCACATGTTTAAGGATTTCAATTCCCGAGAAAGATTACCACCAAATATTGAATGAAATACTTTTTTTGCGGAAATATTTTCTATCCTGAGTACAAATGTTCATTTGTTATTGAAAATTTTCTGACATGCTTTGTGTTTTGGTTGATTTTTTTTCCTTTAATACGGTTTCGTTTTCAAGTTGAAAATAAAAAAAAATAAAAATAATTTGATTTTAAATTATTTTCGTAATTAAACAAATTAAAAACCAAAATGATGATCAAACGTTGCTCTTTAATTTTAGCCAATCAATTGGCCAAATCAAATTCATCATTATCAGTGAGTTTTTCGAAAAAATATTCATGATTGATGAAATCAAAATTCTTAAATTTTTTTTACTTTAAAATCAATCAGGTATTAAGTGGTATTCGTTGGAATAGTACATTATTGATTGCCGATCATACAGAAGAAACACTTTCACCGTTAACATTGAAAACAATAACCGCCGCAAAACAATTAGGTAATCCAATTACCTGTATGGTAGCAGGTCCTAAAGTTGGTCCAGCCGTTGATATATTGAAAAAAGTTGATGGTGTTGAGAAAATTTTAACCGTTGAAAATGATTCATTAAAAGGATGGTTACCCGAAGTGATGACAAACATTGTAATGGAAGCACATAAGAAAAATAATTATTCACATATATTGACAGGTGCTTCGTCAGTTGGAAAAGTATATTTAAAAAACAATTATGAATTTATAAATTATTAATAAGTGATTTTCATTTTTCATATATTTTAACAATATAAAATTGATAGAATTTTCTACCTCGATTAGCCGCCTTACTTGATGTATCATTAATATCGGAAATTATTGGCATTAAAAGTCCTGATACATTTGTACGAACAATTTATGCTGGAAATGCGTTATTGGAATTGAAAGCATTAGATCCTGTTAAATTAATTACTGTTCGTGGTACAGCATTTGATGCTTCGACAATCGGTTCAGCTGATTGTCCTGTTGAAGCTTTTGCAGCCGAAACAGCAAAACAACCGGACAATGTAAAATGGATTAAATCTGAAATAACTAAATCTGAACGACCAGAATTAACGGCTGCTTCTCGTGTGATAGCTGGAGGTCGTGGCATGAAAAGTGGTGAAAATTTCAAAATGTTATATGATTTAGCTGATAAATTGAATGCAGCTGTTGGTGCTTCACGTGCAGCTGTTGATGCTGGTTTCGTACCGAATGATCTACAAGTTGGTCAAACGGGTAAAATTGTTGCACCTGAATTATATATCGCTATTGGTATTTCTGGTGCCATACAACATCTAGCCGGTATGAAAGATTCAAAAACAATCGTTGCAATCAACAAAGATCCAGATGCACCAATATTTCAGGTAGCCGATCTAGGTTTAGTTGCTGATCTTTTTCAAGCCGTACCAGAAATTAATGAAAAAATTGATGCATACATTTCCAAATAGATATAAATGTTAATACATTTTAAATTGAACAAAAATTGTTTTAATCTAATATTTCTTCTATGATTATGACTGAATAATAAATTCACTGTCTATTTATCCTCCCCATTCTCTTTCAATGTTGTTTAGGAAACAGGAATTTTTCTTTGTTGACATTTTCGATATAAATTTATATAATAATTTTCTTGATCTGGTGTCCGTAATTGTACGGATTCATCGTTATCTTCATCATTATCGGGTTTATCATGCAATTGTTTGAATGTTCGAGGAAATAGCCAACCATTTTCTTTAAGATCTCCATCAAAAAAAGCCAATAATAATTGATTGACACGTTCGAAAAGACAGGAAAATTTTGAACGTATTAAAATTTCATCATTATGATTGATATTTTGTTGTGATTGTTGAAATAGATGATAATCATTCGAATATATTTTTTTCGAAAGTCTTTCAGTTATTTCGCCAAGAAATTCCAACAATTGAATAATGAAATCAATATTTTCATTTGAAATACTACCGGGAAAAATATTCATCAAATTCATATCGATTGTATCGATTAATTCGAATGCTTTGTATGGCATTTCAAAACGTTCATAAATAGCTAACATTATTATTGATAGATATAATAAACGATAACTACCATAATATGAAATTTGACGATATTTTTCATATAATTTTTCCATATATTCTATTCTTTTTTTTCTTTGTTTATCCGAATTTGATTTCCAATATAATTGAAATTTTGATCTATAACGGAAAAAATATAAAATACGATAAATTCGATACTGTTCATGGCCATTTATCGAATCAAATAAATAACCAAATTCGGATTTTATTCGTTTCATTTTATTCATTAATCTATATGCATTTCGTAAATCGAATGGAAATTTACCACATGATATACAAGCATTATGTTTATTTAAAACTAATGGTCCAGAACATTTATCATTCAAACATTTGATAACATTTTTCATAGTTGAACAATCATTATTACAAATAATACATTGACAATAAAAACAATAATTATATTGTAATGATATTTGTCGTTGATCAAATGTTTGTCTATTAAAATCCGTACCATATGAAATAGTTAATTGTTCACCTTGTTTTATTGAACGTGTTGCACAAATGATAATACCATTTGAATTAAATTGCCAATATAAATTTGGTTTACAGCTATGATTGAAAAATGATGAAATACATTCAATACAATTGGCAATCATATTTGATAAAACTAATTGTTGTGGATGTTTAATTGCTAATGTTGATGTTTCATCCAAATCGATTGGACCATCACTCCAACAAAATGAATTTGTTTGCATACGTGAAAAATCTCTGGCAATATATTCAGCACGACGACTAAATTCAAAACAATCATCCAGTATATTTTTATCAAGAATTTTTTTACGAACAAATAAATGTATTAATATCCATGACATTAATGTTGTATGTACTTCACGTAATATTTTTCGTTCATATCGATGATCAACAAGTTTTGAAATTAATTGACATAATTGAAATCGTTCATCATATGACCATTTATGTCTTGGTAATTGAAATCGTTTATTATGAATATAATTATCATGAACATTACAATCATCATCCGATTGTTGTTGTTGTTGTTGTTGTGTACATTTATCAATTAATTTATGACCAAAAATTGAATAATATCTAAAAACATTTCCAAATGAAAATAAATCCGATGGTCCAGCAATCAAACCATATAAACCACATTCAAAACGATGATATTGTTGCCAACAAATTTGTCTACATTCATCGGAACAATAATAAATTTCATCACAATTTTTACATGATATTCTTTTTTTATTATTCGAAAAATGATGATAACAATAATGACAATAATTTTGTCGATGTTCTTCATAAAATGTAATAATAATTGGTCGTTCTTCAATAATAATTTCACCTTTTAATATTTGATCTTTGGTTATAAAATGACGGCCAAATTTTTCATTTTGTATTAATTGACATTTTTGATTTAGATAAAAATTTAAATGTTTATCATCATTATTCATATCATCATCATTATCAATAATAATAATATTATTATTATTATATAAATGTATTGATTCATTTAACAATGATGATGATGATGGTGATGAATTTTTCAAATGTTTTTGTTCATATAAATCGCATTCATAATCAATTTTTTCACCAAGTTTTCTTATTTGTTTCAAATGTTTTTGTACTAATTTATACATTAAATCAATCGATTCTTTTATATTCATTTTTGTTGTTGTTGTTGATTTCGAACGACGATATTTTTCCTCATTACATAATTGATGTAATAAGTCTAACGAATTTTGATCGTTACCAAAGACAAAATTTTTCATAGTTTTTTTTTCTTCTTCTTCTTTTCTAAAACCAAAACCAAAAATTTTTTAAAATAAAAATTTTATATAATCAAATGACAAAACTATATAATTTGTTTTGTTTTGTTTTGTTTTTTTGGGTAATGAATTAATTAGAATTTTTTCCTGTTTTGTTTTTTGATTTGTTTGTTTTTGTTTTTTGATTTTTGATTTTTCCCGTAACAAACAAATCAAAAAAAATTGATCCAATTTTGTTGTTTGTTTGTTTTATTTTGGATTTGTTGTTGATTTTTTGTTGTCGTTCATATAAAATGCCCAAGATTCGTATTGAAAATGTTTACCAAAAAAAAAGTTTGTTGGATTCTTTGATTTTGCTAGTATTTATTTTATTTTTTTGTGTCTGATTCTATTTGATTCTATTTTTTTGTTCCGTATAATATTTGAAAAGATTTTGATTGTTTTTTTTTATTATATTTTGCATAAAGAGTTATGTCATTACAAACACCTAAACAACCAATGATGGCACAGCAACCAATGTCAGCAAAAAATAATGGTGGGGGTGGTGGTGGTGGTGGTGGTTCTCGTCCGACAACGCCGACAAATACTACTAATCGTCCTAACAGTAATGATGGTACTGTTCGTAATACTCGTGGACCTGGTTGGCTAACAAAAAAACCGGCTAAACCTTCTATAACACCAGATTTTTGGTGTCGACCATTTATGCCCAATCCTCCTCAATTGTCAGATGTTGCAAATGCTTATTTTATTGGCTATAAGGATAGTAGTGATTGGCATTTTAAAAAATTATTAAGTTAGTATTTTTTTTTTTTTTTTTTTTTTTTTTTTTTTTTTTTTTTTTTTTTTACAATTTTAAAAAAAAAAAATAACAAAAAAAAAATAAAATTAAAA